TCTTCAATAATTTTAAATAGAATAATAAATGTGGGCATTTTTTTCCTAGATAAGAAATGGCCCATTTTGTCATTTCTTAGTTAATATAATGGTTTTGGATTTCAGATTTTTACAATTGAAACAAGCTCTTTAACACTAAACTATATATCATGACTTTCCCAAGATGCTGTATGGTCATTACATATGATACAACTTATCTTTCTTTTTTCCCCCTATTGGTCAATGTTTATCTGTGTGGATCTGAGGATTAAGGGGCCAAAAGGACCCTGCAGTTAGAAACTAGAGTTTTCTCAAAACGTCCACAATGAAGGTTGAACCTTGAATCCTTACTAGGACCTCAAGCTAAAAGATTTTATTCCTTATATTTGCTTTAAGGCAGATTTTCAGAACAAGTAATTGATCAAGTGGCTGCTAATATTTATCATATGTAATTATTAAATCAAATATATTAGTTTCAACTCAATTTGTCTTCATTAATTTTTTGTATATCATGTAGCAATATTGCTTTTGTCCTGTGTAATTATTAACTATGAAATTATCCTATGTAATTATTGAATCAAATATGTAAATTTCAACTAACTATATAATACAGAAGTTAAACCCATTGCTTCCTCTGCATATCCTCTTTAGATATATAACATAAATATACTAAATTTGTTAATGTTTAGTACGCACGAATTTTGGCTTGACTAAATTTTCAAAAAAAAGCTACTCTACCAAATAATGGATTTTATTTAAGCAATGGGTATAACGCCAAACAATAAAATGTTAATAATGAAGCTGTATATAGTGTATGCTTTGAAATCATATGGATATTCAATTCTTAAAATTAAGCTGAAATTATGATTTAAAATAGAGTATTATTTTCAACTAGTTATTTTGTGGTAATTCAACTTTTTATATGATATAAAGGATTACAAATTCATACCCGTGCAATAAACTAGTTGAATAGAAAGACAGGAAACGTGCACTCAAATAAACCGGGGTGGTTTAGAGAACTTATACGGTGTTTATATGTTTTTGCTTTAAAATTTAAAATATCTATTCAAAATATATTTACTCTAAGTCTAAAATGTTAATAAGTAATAAATATAAACAATCCAATCAAAATAATTCAAATAGAAACAATGTAATAACTAACTGGAAAGCAAAAAATCCAAGGTCAAAAAATCAATGAAATTAATATTTACGTAGAGCTTTTATTGTTAAGTTGTTAAATTTATATTTATCTTATTGAAAAATATGAATTGATCCAAACTCATGGCGCGTCTATTGGACTTTTGATTTTGGTCTTTTAACATAATTTTCCCCAGAATTAATGAGGGCATAATGTTTGGGACGCTTGGAAGATTACTATTGTATCTTAAATTTTCCAATTCTCATGACTTCCTTGAATTTTGAATCAAGTTCTTATATTTTTTTTTTTATTAAACCTTCAAATTTACCCCGTTGGTGCCTGTTTAAAATTGTTTAATAAAAACTAGCCATGTGAAAAAAAAAATCCAAAGATGAGAATTCCGGGAGAGCCTTGTACGCTTAAGTGTTCTGATTCTGAGCAATGAAGTCATGAGGAAATCTATAATAGTAACAAGCTTGCGAGATAGCAGTTTGAAAAGCCACATTAGTGTCTTTAATTATTATACTATCTTTGTCTTCCGGTCTTTAATATAAAAGCTAATTAGAAGTTGAACTTGATCTTTAATATAAGAGTTTAATCTACTTTATCTCCTCTCTTTCTCCAAAACATCCTTATTAATTACAAGGGGTTCCTATCAAATGATAATTATAATCATTCATTGCATATGATTGAAAAGAATAATTTACAAAGATCAATACATGTTTGTAATAAATAACCAGCTTAACTAAATTTTTTAATATCCCCACATTAGTTATATAATTTTTATATTAAAAGTATTTTGTACTGTGATTTCATTATTTTGTCCAAAGATTAAATATTCGGCATCCAACTCACGCATAAGCTTTTAACATTGATGGGAGATGCATGCAAGTAAAGGGAGGTGGCAAAGGATGCTTTTTTTTTGTTGGGGAGGGGAGGGGGGGGGGGGAGGCTCCGGGGGAAGATAAGAAACTATTTTCAGATTCATAAAAAAATATTTCCAAATGTGGCATTAATTTTTGCACACATGAGATTCATTTCTAGAAGTCTGCCTAGTTGTCCATCATCTCATGGTTGGCTAACAAATCTGTTAACAACCGTTTAACTATTATTAACTGTTTTAAACACTAAGACCTAATAGTGTTACCGGCATAAATTAGAAGGATTTGATACAAAGAAACAAAAAGAAGGGACTTGATTCAAAACTAAAAAAAAAAAAAATTATAGGGATTGAGAAATTAATTTTCTCAAGTATTTATTTTAGTCTTCTAACCCTCCCATTGTAGCTCTCAAATGATAACTTTTTGTGCTAATTATTATTATTTTAAAAAAAAGGTAAAAATGCATATTTGGTTATCTACTTTCATAAATGTTTGATTTCATTATTTAATTTTTTAAAATACCCTTTTACTCCTCTACTTTTTTAAAATATATTTTTAGTTCTTTAATTACTCCAAATATATTAATTGCAAATAATAATTTTTTATTAGTTATTGTTATTTAAAAAATTAAACCATATCAGTATTTTTAAATGTTTCGTTAACATGTAAAAAATTGGTTGAAAGGATAATCTATAAAATTAAATGATTAAAATAAAAATTTTTGTAAAGTTTAAAAGTAAAAAATAAAATAAAACTCACGTCAAATTTATTAGATTCATTAAATCCAATGCTATGTGCATCACCAATACAAATGGCAGAATTTTATTGGCCGCTCAGATTTAATTAACTTTACCCAAGTTTTGTCTTAAAAATTTTTGTTAAAGAGAGGCGTTAAAAAATAAAAAAGAAAAAGGAAATAGAGGACGATGATATGTAATGTATATAAACGGAAAAGATAAAATTAATCAGAAATTGAAAGCAAAATGGCGACAGGAAGCACCCCAAAGTGACTATTAAAACATATCAAAACATTATTAAGATGATGGTTACAAAATTATTTTTATTTAGATTTCATATTTATCGAAAGTAAGAAGTTTTCAAATAATCCAAAACAATAAAACAACGTGAAGTATGAAAATGATCCCACATTCATGATAACCAGCATATGCTCATTAATCATGAATCATACCAGTAATGGCTTTATCATCTTTGTTACCTTTACTTTTCCAATGGCTTTATCTTCTTTGTCTAGTTGGTTAAAATATAAAAATGGCAAATAAGTACTAAAAAATAGAATGATTACTTAGTAAATTTAATTTAAATTAAAAATAATATAAAGCTACATATGTAACATCCTAGATATATTAAAAATTGTACTAGTTGACATTGGTTCAATGATCAAAGGTCATCTAATCATGGTTAAGCTAAACTTAAACTTAAGTGAATTAATACTACTTTGGTGTTTAAGATATGAGCAAAATAAGTAATTTACAAATATTAATAAAATTAGTTAAATTAGTTATTTGTAATAAATGAGTATTGTTTTAATTATGTATATTTGAATGAAAACCATTTAGCATGTGTAATCATCATGGGGATTACTTTAAAAATAAATAAATAAATAAATAAATAAGATAAAATGGATTAAGTATTTATATTTAGCATCAAATTAAATCTCTAACCAACTCTTATATTTAGGATCAAAGGTGGTATCTGTTTAGTTATTCAAATAAGATACATCTTAAATGAGAATAAAAACTACAATATAAAAACTAAGCTTCTAGAGTAATATATATACTTCTCTGATCCTTAATATAAAACTTAATTGTTGAGTTAATCTTAGTCCTAAATATAAAACATATTTCTCATATTTATCAATTTTTTCTAAATCACTCATATAAATACTCCCTTAACAATAATCAAGTAGAATTTGAGAATCGGATAACAAAATACACGAGAAAGAGCAAGAAGTAGAAAAGAAAAGCAAATCAAGATTTTCACTAGTCTTGTACTTCTTAATTTACAAATAAAAAGGATCGAACTGTTGCATCTAAGATAGTAAAACGCTTCACAGTTCATATGATTCATCTTAAGACAAAAATCAATTTTAATTTTGACATTTAATTTAGCCCGTCAATTATCAATATATAATGTGAAATTTATAATAAGCATAATCATATATAAATTATTGATGCTATAAATTATTGTGCAAACTCTAAATAATTGAAACATGCTTCTAGATTCTAATTTCGTAAAAGTATTTTATGATATTAATTAATCATATACATTTAAAAAAAATCATAAATGCTAAAAAAGGTTAAAATTCACACTTTGTTAAATCACATGCTTCTCTCTTGCTATAAGATGAGTTCTTTTATACTTAAAATGCCACATCATTTTTAAGAGGAAAAAAAGTTATCCTTTTGTGTCATTTCATGATCATTACTCTTTATCAGCCTGAGTTATTTCATGCCGCAGTTTCATACATTACACTTCACATATTGATTAAAATGAGCAAAGAATACAATTGGATAAAAATAATATTCTGGCCAAAAAAAAAAGAAAAATCTTATTTTTTGTTCCTTCAATTTTAACATAGTTATCACTCAGTTTTTTTAACTTTTTAACTCATTAAAACTTGGTTCTCAATTTTTTTTATTCAACAAATTAATTAATTCTTACCATACATTACTCATGCTTGGCGAAAAAAGAAGTTTTTGCCACTGTTAAAAAAACAAGCTAATGTGGCTCATAAGTAAGCTCAATGTGACTGGGAATATAATTACACAATTCTGCATCCACTGCATAATTCTGCATCTGCTACGTGGCATGATAATAGAGGGTGTGTTTAGATTGGTCCTGATAAAATTGACTTTTATTTATTCCAACTGACTTTTGTAAATTGAAGTTAAGGTAAAAATCAGTTAATGCAATATGATTTAAGTTTTGATTAGTGTTTATACAAAGTTATTTGAAAAGTTAAAACTGGTTTAGATGGATAATAAAAAGTAAATTTAGATGTAAAATAACTAAAAAAAGCATGAGTTTTGTTAAATAAAAATGGTTTGAGTAAAGATGACCAAGAAACAACTATTCACATCTGCCAATGTCAAAATGTTTCATAACGTTCAGTAAAGAATAATACTTGCCTTAAAGAAAGAAACTCGACAGCACAGAGTGGATGGCTTGAGTACTGTTGTTTGCTCTCGTTCAATGACAAATAACAATTTAGGCAAGATTTCAACTTATGCAAGATTTCCCGATCGGAAAAAGACGCCCCCCTGCAATATATATACAGAAATGTATTAAAATACAAGGCCTCAGCTCTATCAAAAAGTAATTAAAGGACTTCATTGACCGATGCTGCTACATTCAATTCCATGAAAAGGTGTTAGATGATCCTGCAAAGCTAAGCAAGTTCAGTATATAATAATAAAATCAATGGATTTAAAAACGAAGCCTCAGCATATTTATTAAAATTTTATAATAGTATAATGGCTTAATGGAAATAAATCAAAAGAAGAATACCACAGTGCTGGTCTTCAAGTATATGATTATCTAATACTTTATTCTCCCTTGTCACCTAACTTTTTTATATACCCATACACAGGACATTTCATAACTTACTTCATGGATATTTTAACACCAACTTAAATAATATTTAAGCAACAGTACTGAGAATTGATTTGTCTACGGTGACTTTCGCCCATTGGATATGGAAGCCTTTTACATAGTTTCTTACAAAAAGTTGACTGAAAAGTGAGTCTCAGGCGTGTTAAATTTAAAGAATCCTTTCTACACAAGCCGAAACTGAAAAGACCATGAGTTCTGCTATATTTCAGTGACATTCACAATCTTTGCTTAAACATGTATCACTTAGATAGCTCGCTAAACATGTTCAGTAAGTAGAGTGCAGGTCAAAGTTGAATGCAAAGAAAATTGAGAAACATTCCCAGCACATTATACAGAGTGTCAAAATTCCATAAAATGAGGAAGAAAGAAATTGAACATTTTAAAATACATTCCAGATGAAAATAATACCTCCACAACATCAATATCACAGTTAACTACCTGAAAGCAAAAATATTAAAACACACATAACATATATATCAAATATAAGTTAAGCAGAATACATATGGTCTTCATCACATCGGTGGGAGTTCCATACGAAGTCCACTTACAGACAGGAATAGCAAACCTACTCCTACTTAGAACACCTAAAGGGGAGTCTATGGTCCAACTCAAAGCACCCACCAGCAAAGTGAACAAATTAAAAACAACAGATTAATCATAAAAATTATGAATTAAAACATTACATGACAAAAACTTCATAATATTTAGTTGTCAAAATATCAAATAATGCAAGTAATGCGGTTATAACCAACATATTGTCCTGTTCATGATCGCATAAGGTATTCGGGAGTTAATAATAAATTCAATAGGCCCCCTTGCACTATGTCCAACATTTTAAAGTCCATTTACTGATAGATGCCACTAACACAAACCATGACCAACAACCACTTTTAATGTTGGTGCTGGGAAAGCATTTTATAAAAACGGCGACAACCGTTGAGAAGAAAAAGAAGCACATGAGCATAAGCACCGTGCAGGGACAAAATATGAACAGAAGCCATCATTTTGAGTTAGAGAAACCAGATCAAACAGTGGTGATATTATATTGAGAATGAAAACCTCTTAAGATTGCTATAGAAAGCACCTCAAATAGTAGTGATATTAATATGGAGCACGTGATAAAGACCTGCATAAGGAGTGGAGATATTTCCATAAAAATGGTTCAGCAAAAGGCATCAATCTTAAACATATGCTAGTCTATTCATCAACCTTTGATCAGTCCAAATTGGTCCTAGAAATATATTAGGAGTTTGCATAAAAATTCGGAATCTAAATATAAAGTGACTGAGTATTTATTGGAAGCTATCTGTCTCTCGAAGACCTTGAAATAGTACTATAGCAGAAACAGTCCAAAGATCAACTCTGAAGTTGCTGAAAAAGCAAATATGGACATCATCAATTTCTGGAGGCAAAGCCTTCCAAATATGTCTTGAGAGGAGGGGAGCAATATAGGAAGTGGTGAATTTATTTAACACCAGAAACAGTCCAAAGATCAACTATGGGACATAATTTTCATATTGAAATGCCCAACGACCAGTCCAATTTAATAAATACAATATAATGAAGATGAAAACTATCAACTTGATCGTCAATTGGATTGACATCTACTGGTGAATTCATTTGACACCAGATACTTAATCACAGCAACTAAAAATAGATCAATTAAATTGAAAAGATCACCTGGTAAGACAATCGTAGCCTGTTATAACAACCTTTGATATCTAAGAAGATAGTAAAAAGTGCCAAGGTGATAATGAGAGTCCTTATGATGGGAGCATTAGCTGTAACAAACACAAATGACTAAGTATTTGATTCGTGAATATGAGATAAAATACCTCCATTTTTATGTCTTGGGTTAGAGACCTATAGTAGTAGTAAATTACATCTACATATCTATTAACTTTGTTATTGCCATCTTGAACAATAATTGTGACAATACCTGAATTCATTATGCAAGTTAGACTGAATTATTACAACAGTTATTTACGTGTAGTACCATGCATGTAGCTTTCATGCTGCCAAACTGCTTTGCTAATAGACCATTTCTTAAAAATATATATATATATATATATATATATTAAAAGATAGCATTTAGGGAAAAATCCTCAACCAGCATCCGTGGATTTTTTAAATATACAACAGATATACAGCAGAGTTTAGTCATTTTACTTAACGCTGTGCCCTCTATACAAGTATCCCCACTCTTTTCATCGAAAATGATTTTCTTTGTAAATGAAAAGTATCCTAGAATTAAAACAACTTGAACTTCTATCAAGGTATTTGTGAAGCGTCATCAATAAAGGCACTGCATGAATAAAACTGCTAGTCTGCAACAACACAAAAGAAGAAAAACAATCACAGGAACTGAGGAAAACGGACTACCCAAATCAGAGTGCTAGTGCATTGTCTGTAAAAGCTCCTGTCATGTTGCAACAAGCGCAGCACACAACTAATTACAACAAGGAAAATACCTGAACCACCAAATTTACCCCTTTATGTTCTCGAATTCCCAGGCTCAGGTAGGAATTTAAGAAAGTCATTTTGTCAACATATGACGGCCATTTTCGTCTCCTCCAGATCTATGCCGGTACGCCCTTCAAAGTTCAGTCTCCATGGACTCTTACGAGCCATTCAAGAACAAGAAGATAGAGAATCTTTTGTGCTTCTTGCTCAGGAGCGAGAGGCAGCTCCCGATCAGATCTATCATAGACCGGCGAGAGGGGAACAGAAACAAAAAGAAAGAATCTAGCCCGACTCATATCATTAACAAGAACTGAAGGGTAGAAAACATAGCATCGCCGTAACAAGCGAACTAGACCTGCTTTTAGCCTATAGGTGACCCCAGCGTGTGCCATTGCAAGGCCCGCATGATAATAGATACAACGGTGTGCCCCGACTAGCTCATATAACAACTGAAGGGTGTTTGGATGGATACAAAACTATGGTTTGTGTTTTTATGATATACTAAGTAAATATGTGGAAAAAAATTTCAGAATCACTTTTTGTGCTATCCAAACACCCCTAAATCAATGCTAATATAACCAATGGAGCTAGGATTACCAAGATGGATTCTAAACCAGACCACATTCAGGGCAGAAGTAATGCAGTTCTTTGATACAATGGTTTAGCAAATGACCCAAAAGCAAACACCAAAACAAAAATTGTAAAACCGCAAGCTTCAACAATAGGAGCAGATAATAGGAATGAGATTAAAGTACCTTGCGATATGTGGTACCGTCAGGTTCAACAGTCCAACCAGCCTCATTGCAGAGAGCCTTCAAGACTTCATTGTTGTCGCAGTGCTTGGGGAGCTTGTAGTTGCCATACATTCTCAGACCAGAGAAGATCTTTGCCGCTATGGCTCTTCGCCTCCTCTCTCTCCTCTTGTTGTTTTCCCTCTCCCTCCAGGTTGGTAGCCTGGCACCAGACGTCATCTTGCTCGCCGAGAAAGCTCTCAGACGGAAAATGAGATACGAGAACGAACTGGAAGAGCGTGAATTGGAGGTATAATTGCCAGATTTCTTAGCAGCGGAAAATAATCAGAAAACAAAACAAAACGCTTCACGCGTCGGGATCAAAGAATCAGTAATGGAAACGGAAAGCCCAGAGAGGCTGGACCAAAAAAACATTCAAATACAAACCACAAACTCTGCTATAGTCAGAAATTTTCATCAAAACGACATGATTCAGCGGCTGAAGCACAGCTCACTAATTCACAGCTCCAACACGACGGAGCCGCAAATCGGAGCAAAACGGCAACGGATGAAGTAGATATACAGCTCAAATCGGAGGACTCCAGATCGGGAAGTAGATTCGGAGGTCTACGCAGCGTTTAATGGGGGCAGAATCCAAGCGGTGCAGATCTACGCAAACAGAATTCAGAGGGGGATTGATTGAGATCGGAATAACATGTTCGCCGAGAAACTGCTCGGAAAACAGGAAAAGGTATCGATGAGAAAACCCGGGAAATGTGAAGGGAGAAGCAGAAAAATCATTATGGAGTGAAAAAAAAGGAAGGGATTTCAGAGAGGCAGAGGGTTGGAGTAATACGAGCAGAAAGTGAAAATGGCCATAATTGATACTGAATTCCCGGTAACGCCACTCGAGCAGCCGTTTGTGTGCGAATCAGACAGAGAAAGAGAGAGAGAGAGAGCGCGCGCGCGGGTGTTGTGTGGATTGTGGCTTCAACCGTGTGAGTCACACGGGGTGAGCAGACTACGTGCCAATGTTGACTGACCCCAAGTGCGATCAATGTCTTGAAAATTAATTATTTTGTTATTCTAATATTTTCTAATTTCTAATTCTAATTACTTCTGATCCTTAATATAAAAATTAATTTAATTTTTTAATTTGATTTTAAATATAAGATTTTTATATATTTTGTTTCTAATATTTATCTATTTTGCCCTCAAATAATTCTTATAGTAGTTGCATATATTAAGAAGTTAGTATTAATTGATAATTCAAACATATATGATTAATAAGAATATTTTAAAGAAAACAACATTTATGTACGATAAATAACTAACTTAATTAACTTCTTTAATATTTTCAAATTAATTAACTAAATCTCATATTAAAGACTGGAGGTAGTATAATTTATAACTTTGTCTATAAACTTTAGTTGAATAGTTCGCAAAAAAATAAACTTTAATTGAATACAACTAAATTTCTATAATTTTAAAAATTCAATTGTTTTTAACTAAAACTCAATAAACTAAATATTTATAATTGAGTTATATAAATACTACTTCTCTAATATAAAAGCTAAGTAACTAATTTGTTAATATAAATCAAATCTCCGACTAAATTTTATGCTAGGGACTCACCATAATTTATTTTAACCTAATTCAACAAATTTCTACACGCGCGCTGTTTTTATAAAAAATAAACAGGAGAGCAATTCCATTTCTTGTTATAAGAAACACTTTGCTTTAATTTGAAGCATTTTATTCGATGGCAAAAGAATTGAAGCATTTATTATTTTTTTTACACTAATACCCTCATTAAAAATAGGACGGATATGCTACCTGAAAACACACTATTAATAAATAAACTAGAAATGGTAGGTAGGCTACAAAGAAGGGATACCACAGGTTTGAAGAATTAAGGAGGTGCAGAAATGGAAGAGCTGGTACTCCAAATACGGTGTCTAAACAGATATAGAACCAAATCTGGAAGGTAAAAGTTACTCCTAAGATTTCTCATTTTGTCTGGCACTGTTTTGGTAAGGCCGTCCCGATTAGAGAATGGTTATTTAGAAGGAAATGTTGTAGTTCTGTGCTTTGTCAAATTTGTGACTAGGAGACTGAATCGATTGAACATGCTATCTTTCTTTGCCCGTGGGCTAGAAGTGTCTGGTTTGGATGTAGGCTCAACCTTCATTTTGATGGTGGAAATTTGAGTAGTCTGGTTGAGTGGTGGAAGAATGTTCTAGTTGATGACCAGGTGCTTGATAAGAAGCAGATCTCCTATTTTGTGTGGATTATGGGTTGATTTGGAAAGAAAAGAATAGAGCAGTCTATGAAGAAAAGGTGCCTGACCCATGTGTGGGATGAGTTCTGGAGGGTAAGGGAATTGGAGGCAGAGAAGGAAGGGGAAGGTGTAAAAGAAAGACAAAACGTGGGGGGGATGGCACCTGAAGAAGGCTGTGTTAAAGTTAACTGTGATGGTTCCTTTAAGGATGGTATCGCTGCTATTGGGATGATTTGTAGAGACTGCGAAGGAAACTTTTTGTGGGGTTTTGGGGAAAAGGTGCAAGCTGATGGTGCGGTTATTGCAGAGATTTTGGCACTAAGGAAAGTCTTAATATTGATCTCTGATATGAGCTATGATAAAGTAGTAATTGAAACTGATTGTACAGAGGTTTTCTGGTGTTGGTCGAAGGCTTCAGCTGATGGAATCGATTGGAGAGGACGCTGGGAAATTCAAGAGGTTATTGAAGTCTTGAAGAGTCTGAGGTATGCTTCTGTTACTCTGATCTCTAGGAAGAGTAATTTGACAGCAGACTTTATTGCTGTGAGTTGTGGTAGGGGTGTGAGCCCAATTGGGTGGGTGAATTCACCATCACCTCCTCTGGCTAGCATTTTAGCCGATGATTTGTTTCTTTGAAGGAAGTTCAAGGCTGCAGAATGTTCTGATAACCAGCGTAAGGATTTGGTTTGGTTGTCATCTTCGGGGGACTCTAGATTCAATAGGTGTGGTATTGGTTGACTTTCTTGTTTTTTTTTCCTAGCTTTCACTTTATTGCTTTTCCTGCCTTTTATTTTGTTAGGCTGTACTTTAGGCGGCCGGTTGGATATTAGTGTTTGTAATTGCTTTTTTGGTGATTAATAAAATTGACTCTGTTTTGACCAAAAAAAATAAAATAAAGACTAAAGTCTATTAGTGAAAAAAAAACCTGATAAATTTATACGCAGAAAATATTTATGCTTTGTAAATTTTGCACGCACGTGGTATAAATACTCTGATTCAAATCATTCTCATTAATAAAATTTTTAATGAGAGCCTTTTCCAGTTTTGCCATTGTTTTTTTAATTACAAGTTTTTAATCTTAATTTTTAAATTTTTTGTAAATTGAACTAATCAAAATTTCTCATTTTCCCTAGAACCAATCCGGGCGTAAAATGATTGAGGCGAATAAAACACAAATCATAAGAATTCAAAAGAATAGGATTGGTCACAAAACGAGAATTGCAAATTTATTGATATGACCACAAATTGGTGAAGGAGACTCAAAGCCTGAAAGAATGCGATTGAGACAAAAAGCCAAAGTCATTTTCTGTTTATGAAGCACGCTTGTTTGACCTTCCAACTTTGAACTATCCAACTCCGTGAACACAGGGGTAGTTTCGGTGCTTCACTTGAAAGACATGGTTTATAAATCAAAACAACATTCATCTCACATATTTATTTTATATTTCATAAATTATGATCAAAAATTAATTATAAACTATTCTAAATAAATTATAATAAGCCTAAAAGCTTTTTTTTACCGCATGAAAAAAATAGTATCCTCGTGCCATTATTAGAGGCTAATCTTCTAGAGATCACTTAAGTGAGTTTTATTTCCGTCAACGAGACCTTTTCTATCCATAGAACCTGATTCTAATATAATTCAAATACCTTCTTAATAATCAATTTTAATTATTAATATATATTAATAAAAGATATAAGAAAATTGTCACAAATTTTATAATTTTTATAAATAATTCGACTTATTTTTTATTTTGTATAAAGAACTTGTTAAAAACAAAAAGAAATTCATGAGATAATTTTTTTAGTCTTTTGTTTAATGATTTTTTGTTTAACCAAAAACAAGTACAATCAAGAAGTATATAATCTTTATCAACCAACAATAAAATACTACCTCCGGTCCTTATTATAAGACCATGTTTGATTTTTATTTTGGTCCTAAATATAAGAACCCAATCTACTTTATCTCTTATATTTATCCACTTTTTTCCATCATAATCCGTCTAATAATAGTAGTTCTAGATAACAAACTTGATTAGCAAGGATATTTTAGGAAAAACAATACCTATTCATTACAAATAACTAACTTAACTAAATTCCTTAATCTCTCCAAATTAGTCAACTGGGTCTTATAATTAGGACCGGAGGTAGTATATCTCAATGAATAATGAACATGGGATTGATTTTAGGTCAAAACAAGAGATCCAATTCAAATTTAGAGACAAATCATAAATATACTAGAATTGGATCTCCATTTATATATATAATCACAATCATGCATACCTTCATCATCTTATAAACACATTTATCTTAAAAATCAAGATTGATCAATAAAGATAACATAAAGCATTTAAACAAACTAATCAACACACACTAATATATATGTATGCGTATATATAACTTCATCGAAACTAAGTGTTAGTGTGAAAAATTTTGACTAAGTTCAAAATATGAGTTCTCCACCTAAGTTAGAGTCATTGAAGGATTTGATGCCTCCAATGCGACCATGGAACACAGGACCTTTACCTCTGAAGAAAATACCACGATATGAGAAAGTTAAGGAAGAGATTTATGATGAAAATGGGAAGAGGGTTTATTGGCGATGCAAAACAGTGAGGGAAAGAAGAAGATGATGAAGAAGATTCAGAATATTATGTGACGTCTTATGCATCATGTTTTGAATTTTGTGACAGATTTTGTATCAGACCTATCAGATTCTGGATTGACAAGCTTTTTAGGCAACTCTTCAATTTGCCAAGACCTCATTATGATTGAATAATTATAAGTATTTCTAGTTATTTGCAAGTTATGAGTTGAAACAAATCACTTGTTTGATGTCTATCATATGAATTTTATGAATGCTTTTATGTTTTTCCTAGTTATGATCTTATGCAACCATTTTTGCTTTGTCATTTCAATTCATGATCATACAACTGAAACTGATGTAACTATTAATCAAACTCTCTTACAACTCGGTTTGCATTTAAAAAACCGTTTTTACGATTGAGTCTGTTTAAACTGAAATTGAACCATCATTGAGTTAGGAAAAAAGATAGGTTTTTAGATATCAAAAAAAGTGCTGAAAATTTTAATAAAAACACATAAAAATAACAAACTAAACCTCTTGAAAAATCCCAATATGTTTTCGGTTGATTTGTAGCTATATAATGTCATTTTATTGAAAATTGCTTCCAATCACTAGCACATGTGGGGTTTTTTTTTTTTTTTTTACCAGCAAGTTGGTGTCACGAGTAGGACGGATCATTTTTATATGTGTGTGTGTGTGTGTATGTATTATATGAGATAAGTCATGTGGGTTATTTTAGAAAGACAAAGGCCTTGTTCTTACTGCTTAAAAATTCACTTCCATTAATGCTTTTATTTTGATTGAAATATTATAATTTGAATACAATTCGATCCAATTTTATTAGGAAAAATCACAAAAAAGATAATAGAAATTGCAAAATTGCAAATCAAGATCCGTTATAAGCTTTGTGTAGGGTTTGATAATAATCGAATGGTAAATGCTA